AGTTTGTGGATTTATTTAACTCAAATATTTAATTGAAAAGTCAGCAATGCATTCAATTGGAAACCTAAGATCCTTACTGAATCTAGTTGCTTGCATTCAATTGGAAACCCCCTTATTTAAGACAAGATACACAAAACTCCAAAAAAAAGGAAAAAAAAGGCACCCCGTCAACAGCATAAACGGAGACACACATTACAAGGAGTGCCAACCTTAGATTTACTTAGGGGTGGGCACAAAACCCGCAACCGATCGGGCAACCGACAACCGACCCGAAAAAATGGTGTTCGGTTCGGGCTTAACGGGCTTCGGGCTCAAATGTTCGGTTTCGGGCTTAGACCGATCTTAAACGGTTCGGTGTTCGGTTGCTAATCCAAAAACCGAGCAACCGAATAAGAAATATATATAAATATATTTTCACTCCCTTCTCTTAAACCTAACCCTAACCCTCTCCCTTTCAATAAAATTTTCTTTCCCTCCTCGCCCAGATCTATCCAAAACGGTCAAAATCTTGTCTTTTGATTTCTACAGTCCCGACCCCAGCCTACACTCCTTCCCCGCTCCCTTTCCACTACAACCAGATGACGCAGATGATGATGAGGAGGCCTTCCCCATTTCTGGTACCAGCTGAAGAGAGTCGACAAAAGCAGCTTGCTGCTGGTGTGGCCACCCGATCATATGCAGATTGCCCCTTCGGTCACTGGAGATAGAGAAGAGTTTGTGTGCTTAGAAATTTTTTTTTTTTAATGGAAAAGGCTGGATTAGAATTTAAAATGGAATTTCTTTACTTTTGCATTGTGTTGACAACCTTGAGATTGCAGAAATTGGGATATGCTTGAACGACTTTTGATTCTTTTTTGGATTTGGCACTTGGGAAATGTGATGGCTTTGGGAAATGTGATGGCTTTGGATATTTATTTGGATCAAAAAATTGAAGAAAATGGATCATCAAACATTGTAGGAAATTTGGGCCACAAAAATGGAAGGCCCAAACCCGAGAAAGTCTAAGGCTAGAATTGGTAAAAAAACCGAGACCGATACCAACCGAACCGATTAATTCGGTTACAAAACCGAATAACCGAAATATTGATCGGTTCAGTTTTCGGTTGTTACTTTATAAAACAATCAACCGATAAAAACCGTCAATTCAGGTTCGGTTCCAACCGAACCGAACCGATGCCCACCCCTAGATTTACTAGTGTAAACTTGGGGGACCAGAATCTCCGGAAGGACTGACATAAGCAGAATTTCAGCCAGTCTTCACTCGGGGGGAACGGAGCCGATCTCCTCAAGGAGGAGGTGCTCTGTCACTGACATAAGCAGCTTTGAATAAATTAAATTAAAAAAAAGAAAGGGTACATCGATGAGGAAGAAGAAAAACCTTACCAATTTGTATGGCGCCAGGATCGGTGGTTCTGCTGAGTGACGTTGGATTATTGTCCATG